ACCACACCACTGCACCCCCTTATTTCTGTCTTCTCTGTCCACCTGTGACCCTCATTTTGGGATCTGACCACACAGATGACAAACAGAAGTAGGAAGCCGAAGTCCAGGGACAGTAGGAGGAGGCAGGGCCCAGAGTGGAGATGCTGCAGGACGGACTGGGGAGGAGGCGGCCCTCAAGAGGAGGGGGTGTCAGGATGAGGAGGGTCCAGGACATGACAGAGATGGGAAGAGGAGAGGGTCCAGGGAGCTGTCTAGAGAGGAGGGCTGAGCATAGGGGACACCAGGAAAGGGCGGGATGGGAAGGATTTCAGGGTGGGGGATGGCCAGGCCTTTGACCTCAGGGACCAGCACAAGTCCTCAGTCACACAGGCCCCTCACAGCCGTGGGAACCCCCAAACACACACACAGCTGGGGGGATAATGGTGATATGTGAGGTCCCATGGTCAGAGCTGGGGGAAGGGGCATAAGGACACAGGGAGAACTGGGGGCAGCCAGGCCCTTCATAGGCTCATGCTCATCTGTGAAAGCAGGTTAAATTATGATCTCCTTTCCTAAATAACCCATGTTTTTCCTGCTCCCTGTCCCTGTGCCACTGAGGACCCTAACTCCCCTGAAGACGAGGACCACAGAGGCCAGGCCCTGAACCCTCAGAGAGGGGGATCTGCACAGTCCATACTGGAGTCACAGAAATGACCAGAACCAGGAGCCCTGGAGCTACAGCACAGGGGAGACATGAGAACCCCTCCTTGCAGATAGAAAGAGGCGCTGTTGGCCGGGCGCGGTGGCTCACGCCTGTAATCCCTGCACTGTGGGAGACTGAGGCAGGTGGATCACCTGAGGTTGGGAGTTTGAGACCAGCCTGACCAACATGGAGAAACCCTGTCTCTACCAAAAATATAAAATTAGCCAGGCATGGTGGTGCATACCTGTAATCTCAGCTACTCAGGAGGCTGAGGCAGGAGAATCACTTGAACCCAGGAGGTGGAGGCTGCAGTGAGCCGAGATCATGCCATTGCATTCCAGCCTGGGCAACAAGAGAAAAACTCCATCTCAAAAAAAGAAAAGGAGAGAAAGGAAGAGGAAGGGAGAAAGGGAGGAAGGGAGGAAGGGAGGAAGGGAGGAAGGGAAAAAGGGTGAAAGGGAGAAAGGGGCACTGTCTGAGAGGAACCATCCTTGGACTACAGACCTCCTGGGCTTCACACGTTAGAGGGCCCTCACTGGCCCTCCTCTGACTCCATCCCTCCCTGTGGGATGGGGAATCTCCAGGGCCAAGGTGATGTGCTCACCCCAAGCCATGCCTGCCCTTCTAGGCCATTCCCTGGGTACCTGGGAGCCCATATCATCCACCCAGGCAGCTGTATACCTGTCTTCCCTGGGCCCGTCCCCTGGGTGGCAGACCCTGCTGCTGGTGTGCACACCCTGAGGCCCAAGCGGTAGCCATGAGCAGGGGTTTGGGGGTGAATGGAGGGTGTGGACCATGCTGAAGGTGTCCTCACGTGTCCCCCAGGCTTCTCAAGGTGCAAGACTGAGCTGGGGGAGGGGGGCAAAGGGAAGTTGGCTCAAGAGGAACTAGTCCAGGCCTCTGCAAACTTTGAGGGGCGGGCCTGTCTCTGAGGGCTTCTGTTTGTCTTACCTTTTCTTTTTCTTTTTTTTTTTTTTGAGACAGAGTCTCACTCTATTGCCAGACTGGAGTGTAGTGGCGTGATCTCAGCTCACTGCAACCTCCGCCTCCCGGGTTCAAGTGATTCTCCTGCCTCAGCCTAATGAGTAGCTGGGACTACAGGCGAGTACCATCACCCCGGCTAATTTTTGTATTTTAAATAGAGACAGGGTTTCACCATGTTGACCAGGATGGTCTTGATCTCTTGACTTCGCGATCCACCCGCCTCGGCCACTCAAAGTGCTGGGATTACAGGCGTGAGCCACTGCACCCAGCCCAATTTCGTATTTGTAGTAGAGACGGGGTTTCGCCATGTTTGCCAGGCTGGTCTCGAACTCCTGACCTCAGGTGATCCACCCACCTTGGCTTCCCAAAGTGCTGGGATTACAGGCATGAGCCACCACACCTGGCCTGTCTTACCTTTTCTAAGATCATGTTCCTTCTCACTGTCTAAGCACTTGAGGTCTTCACACTTCATTGATATCTTGGCCCAAGTGGTCTCTGTGGCTGTGGGAGCTGAGACGGAGGCAGAGAAAGTACTGCAAGGGGGAGCCTGAAATAAGGGCTGAAAGTGGGTGTGGAGCTGGTTTCGAGGTAGGAAAGGAGGATCTGATAGAGGCTGAGCCAGGCGTGAGGACTAGGAGTGTGGATGGGGCTGGGTTTGCAGGTGAGGTTGAAACAGGGATCACAATTGGGGTTGTATCTGGGGTGAGGATGGCATTGATGTACTTGGGGCTAAAAATCAGACTGGGTCTCAGGCTAAGATTATAGACAAGTTTCCTCTGGGGTTGGGTCTGAGTTTGGGGCCAAGATTGGAAACACGTGGGGCACAGCGTGGGGGTGTAGTACAGCTAGGCTGAAGCTGCAGTGGGGACAGAGATTGAATTTAGGGATGAATTTAGAGCTGACATTGGGACTGAAATTGGGGCTAGAACTGGGATTGGTTTGGTTTGGGGCTGTCCAACCCAATCTGGAAGTCAGTGGAGAGATCGTTTCAATCTCCTCCAATGACTAGTTCAATCTGTGATCCATCTTCCCAGTTATTTCCACCTATAACACAAAGTCGTCCTCTCCGTATTTTCCCTAATGCCCTCCCTGCCTCCCCAGTCCAGTTACCTGTATAAAACTAGAGAATGGAACTGTTGGCTTTTCTTATCTAGCACAGTTACCAGGTCAGGAAATTCTGGAGGGAACTGCCTTGTATTGGTTCTCCTGCTGCCCTCTGCATTCTGTGGCACTGGTAGAACTGGGATCTAATGCTCCTGCGGGGTGGCTTCTCTTCCATGATCCAAAATCTTTCAGACCCGAGGAGAGAGGCACACAGCTGCTTGGGTGGGTGATCTGTGCCTTCAGGCCTCAGAGTGGTGATGCCTCTGCTGTTCTTAGCCACAGGGACTTCAACTTTTGTTGGCTTCCTGAACCCTGCTCACACTCTGTAAATGTCATTAAACTCTTTTCAATAAACCCTCTTGTGGCCAAGCACTGCGGCTCATACCTGTAATCCCAGCAGTTTGGGAGGCCTAGGCAGGACAATCGCTTGAGCCCAAGAGTTCAAAACCACCCTGGGCAACATAGTGAGACTCTATCTCTACAAAAAAATAAACTTAGCCAGGCATGGGGACACACACTTATAGTCCCAGCTACTCAGGAGGCTGAGCAGAGAGGATTGCTTAAACCCAGGAGTTTAAGGCTGCAGCGAGCTCTGATCGCACCACTGCATTCTAGCCGGGGTGACAGGAGAACCTATCTCTCTATACATATGTAGAGAGAGAGAGAAAGAGAAAGAAATCCTTTGGTTTTGACACCTGTATCTTGCTGGAACTGATTTTAAAAAACATTTGAATAAAATTGTAAATGTCTACTATAGTACACAGAAAAATAAAAAAGAATAAACTCCATTTGGAAGTCTAACAGCCTCCTCAAACTCAACATGTTCAAAACAAAGCTTCTTATCTCCTCATCCCACCCACAAAACCAGCTTCTCACACAGTCTTCCCCATCTTAATTAACTGGGACTCCATCCTTCTAGGTTTTCAAGCCCCAAACCTGGAATTATCCTTGACTTTCTCATTCTCCCAAACCCCTCAGACAACCCATCAGAAAATCCTGACAGCTAACTGAGACATTCCCATATATCAGGGAGATTTCTGGGTACAGTAATACAGCAATGAATGGGTCCTGCCCTCGCTTAATGAACTTAAAAAGTTGGTTCTTAACAGCTGAGATGCAGCCAGGTGCAGTGGCTCACGCCTGTAATCCCAGCACTTTGGGAGGCCGAGACGGGCCTATCACCTGAGATCGGAAGTTTGAGACCAGCCTCATCAACATGGAGAAACCCCGTCTCTACTAAAAGCACAAAAGTAGCCGGGCATGGTGGCGGGCTCCTGTAACCCCGGCTACTCGGGAGGCTGAGGCAGGAGAGTCGCTTGAACCCAGGAGGCGGAGGTTGCGGTGAGCTGAGATCACACCATTGCACTCCAGCCTGGGCAACAAGAGGGAAATTCTGTCTCAAAAAAAAAAAAAAAAAGAGAAAAAGAAAAAAATTAAAATAGCTGAGATGCTTCCCCTGGTATATGCCGGATTGATTGAAAAAATAGAAATCTCCACCCCTCTCTATATCCATTCTCTATACAATATGAATGATTTTGTAGATCCTCCCCACCCCCCACTAAAAGGTGGGACCTATTTCTCTGATACTTGAACCTGAGCAGCCTTGGAATCTGCTTTGGACAATAGGATGCAGAAGAAGTGATGGTTCAGTTCCAAACAAGGCTCTGAAGTCCTTGCACTCTTCCAATTTCTCTCTTGGACCCCTACCCAGCCATTCTGTGAACAAGGCCAGGCTAGGCTAATGTGACCCAGTCATCCCCATTGTCCCAGCCCAGAGCCAGCCAAATATGAGACATGGGAGCAAGGCTACCCTAGACCAGCCAACCCCAAGCCAACCCACCAGCTGACCACAGACGCATGAACAAGCCCAGCCAAGATGACCCAAACCTGACCAGACTGGACCTATAGCCTCATGAGCTATAATCAATGCTTATTGCATAAGCCCTGAGCTTTGGGGTGGTTTGTTACACACCAACTGCTAACCAATACACCTGGGGATCTTATCTACCTCTCCCAATAACTCTGGGATCTTCAGAGAAATTAAACAATGGCTTTTCCTAATCATCCTACGTTTATACCATCTTTAAGTGACAGAAAATATTTGAACTCAAATCTATATGAGAAAAAAATGCTATTTTCTCAATTGCATAGGACTTTCGAAGGCTTCACCTGGCTTCTCCACTCTGCCATTTTTAAATTGCCAAAAATCAAGCAACACAAAGTACATAAGTAAGTTCTCACAAGAGTATGTATTCACTTATATGAAGTATATACATGAGAGTGTATGATTTCACTTATATGAAGTTCTAGAAGCTCTAGAAGAGGCAAGGCCAGTTAATAGTGGGAAAAAAGTAGACCACTAGTTGCCTGGAAACAGGGAAGTGGTTGGACTGCCTAGAGGCATGAGGGTGGGGGCGATGGCAGTGTTATCTATTGCGATCGGAGCAGTAGTCACCTAGGCATGCATATTTGTCAAAGTCATCTCTACTCTTTAAATGAGTGCATTTTTATTATGTAAAAATTATACCTTCATGAAGTTGACTTTCAAAAGTTGGAAAAAAAATAAAAGTTTAAGAACTCTATACCATCTTTTTAAAGTTAAGGAGAAAAAACATTCAAAATGTTGGCAGTGCTCCCAATCTCCCAGGGCTTATTCCTCTGCCAGAGCGGTCTTGAGAGGAGGTGCTGGGTAGAGTCCTCCTCCCCACCGCCATTTCTGCAGCCAGGTGTCCCACCAAAGGCAGCTCAGTGACTCTCCTGGCTGGCCTGGGTCAGACCAGCCTCGCAGACCCAGTAGTAGGGCCTCTGGCAGACGTCGTCATTCCACCTGCCGTCTGGGTGGAAGTGGGCACAGTCCTCGCCTCCGCCCAGCCCGTGCCCCTGCCAGTCGTCTGGCTGGCCTGGCTTCCAGTTCCTGAGAGGAGAAGACAACAGCAAGCTAGGAAGGGTAGGTGGAGTGGAATTCAGTTTAGGGGAGGAGAGGCTGGCAGTCAAATCCCTGGGGGGCAGCGCTGATGAAGGACATTGGCACAGAAAGCCAGAGTGCACTCACTGGAAGCCGGTCTCATAGTCTGTTCCATCCACCCACTTCCAGGCTCCTTCACGGTCACTGAGGCCCATCCAGGTGTATGCGAAGCTTAGATGTTCCTGGACAAAATTCTGGGTTGACAGAAGGGCAGTGGTGACTTCTCCCCATCCCAGCCAACTCCTTAAAGCAGATTCTCAACTTTAGATCTTCGTTAAATCAGCTGAGGAGTTTGGGGATGTTTCTCTGGATGCTCAGGCCTATTAAATCGCTGAGGGTGTGGCACAGATGACAGTCATTCTGGAAGCTCCCAGATGATTCTAATGTGAGGCCAAGATTAAGAACTATTTCCCTAAATGGGACTTGTCTTAGGAACTGAGTACCAGAATCCCTCACCTGCTCCTCCCTGGAGTTGATGACCACCAGGTGGGCGTTCTCCAGCTGGCAGTGCTTCTCAGCCTCAGCCCAGGGCATCCCAGAGCGAGAGAACCAGTAGCAGCTGTCTTGGTGCTCCACCCAGTTGATGGGGCAGCAGGTCCTTTCAGTAGAGGCTGAGTGGGAAGAAATAGAGTGGAGAGGTCGAGGCTCTGCCCATTGGGCCGTGGGCAGAAAAGCAGGGCCGGGTACTCCCCACACCTTCCTCACCATTGTTCTTGAGAGTAGCCACCTGACAGGTCAGTTTATTCAGGTCTTGCATCAGCCGCTGGACTCGCAGGAGCATTTCAGAATGAACTGGGACACACACAGATGGGCAGTGGGGACAGTGGCCTAGGTGTGCTTCTGCTTAGTGTGTTCCTGGAGCTCAGATGTCCCTGCACAGGGCCAAGCCCAGGAACTTTCCTTCCTGTCCCCACCCACCCCCTATATCATGGCCAGATACAGCCATCAGATACAAATCCGCTTTGGATTCCTCCACTCCTGTTTCTCCAGCCTGCTCTCCAGAGAAAGCATGCCACTTTTTTTTTTTTTTTTTTTTTTGAGATGGAGTTTCACTCTTGTTGCCCAGCCTGGAGGGCAATGACGCAATCTCGGCTCACCACAACCTCCATCTCCCAGTTTCAAGCAATTCTCCTGCCTCAACCTCCCGAGTAGCTGGGATTACAGGTGCCCACCACCACACCCAGCTATTTTTTTGTATTTTTTTTTAGTACAGATGGGGTTTCACCATGTTGATCAGGCTGGTCTCGAACTCCTGACCTCGTGATCCGAAAACCTTGGCCTCCCAAAGTGCTGGGATTACAGGTGTGAGCCACCACACCCGGCCTGCATGCTGCCTTTCAAGCTGCTGGTGAAGGGGAGGGCAGGTCAGCACCAGGAGCCTGTTCCCACCCCCACCTGCGTCTGAGAGCCTAGCCTCCCAGACCCATACTTGGAGGGTCTCTCACCTGCCTGCTGTTCCTGCTTGATAACCTCCACCTCAGCTTTCAGAGACGCTATCATTTCTTCCACGCTGCTGCCTGGAGGGCATGGAGACTTCACTTAGGGGTCAACTTCCTCCTCCCTGTCCTGGCCCCAGCCCAGAGCCCCATCCAAGCCAGGCTCACCCTGGGAAGTCAGTGCCTGGATCTCAGCCACAGTGTTTGAGGTGAAGTTGCTAAAATCTGTTCTCAGGGTCACCAGGTCCCTCTGAAATTTGGAATCTAAACAGGTGGATGGGAAGGTCAGAGCTGGGATTCATCGGGTCCTCTGTGCCAGCACCGCGCCGGGCCCTCCATAAGCATTGCCTCATTAGGTCCTCACGGCAATCCAGTGGGGCAGGCACTATTATTGTCCAATATTGCCAATGAGGAAACTAAGACTCAGAGAGGTGAAGTAATTTGAGTACATAACCCAACTAATCAGTGACAGAGCCAGCAGCCATCCTATTTATGGGTCCATCAACTCTCTTCATCAGTGCCCTCACCACTGTTCCCGTCAATCACTCCATCAGTGCCTCCACCACCATTCCCATCAATCATTCCATCAGTGCCTCCACCACCATTCCCATCAATCACTCCATCAGTGCCCCCCAACCATTCCCATCAATCACTCCATCAGTGCCCCCATCACCATTCCCATCAGTCACTACATCAGTGCCCCGGACCTTCCCATCAGTCACCCCATCAGTGCCCCCATGACCATTCCCATCAATCACTGCATCAGTGCCCCCCACCACCATTCCCATCAATCACTCCATCAGTGCCCCCACCATTCCCATCAATCACTCCATCAGTGCCCCCATCACCATTCCCATCAGTCACTACATCAGTGCCCCTGACCTTCCCATCAGTCACTACATCAGTGCCCCCATGACCGCTCCCATCAATCACTGCATCAGTGCCCCCCACCACCATTCCCATCAATCACTCCATCAGTGTCTCCACCACCATTCCCATCAATCATTCCATCAGTGCCCTCCACCATTCCCATCAATCACTCCATCAGTGCCTCCACCACCATTCCCATCAATCACTCCATCAGTGCCCCCACCATTCCCATCAATCATTCCATCAGTGCCCCCCACCATTCCCATCAATCACTCCATCAGTGCCCCCACCATTCCCATCAATCATTCCATCAGTGCCCCCCACCATTCCCATCAATCACTCCATCAGTGCCCCCCAACAATTCCCATCAATCATTCCATCAGTGCCCCCACCATTCCCATCAATCACTCCATCAGTGCCTCCACCACCATTCCCATCAATCACTCCATCAGTGCCCCCACCATTCCCATCAATCATTCCATCAGTGCCGCCACCATTCCCATCAATCATTCCATCAGTGCCCTCCACCATTCCCATCAATCACTCCTTCAGTGCCTCCACCACCATTCCCATCAATCATTCCATCAGTGCCCCCACCATTCCCATCAATCATTCCATCAGTGCCGCCACCATTCCCATCAATCACTCCATCAGTGCCCCCCACCATTCCCATCAATCACTCCATCAGTGCCCCCCAACCATTCCCATCAATCATTCCATCAGTGTCCCCCACCATTCCCATCAATCACTCCATCAGTGCCCCCATCAGTGCTTCAGTGGACCTGTTGTGACCCCCATGACAGTTGGTAGCATTGTCCTCACCATGCCCCATTGTCATCTCCACAGCTGCCCCCAACACTGTGTCCTGCATTGCTCTTACTGCAGGCCTCACCTCTGCCCTACTGTAGCACCCCATTATTTATATTCTACCCCATTATTTATCTCTTCCCTGTCCACCCCTGTGACCCTCACTTTGGGATCCAACCACACAGATGATGACCAGCAGCAGGAGACCAAGGCCCAGGGACAGCAGGAGGAGGCCGGGCCCAGAGCGGAGACGCTGCAGGAGGGACTGGGGAGGAGGCAGCCCTGCAAGAGGAGAGGGTGTCAGGATGAGGAGGGTCCAGACATGACGGAGATGGGAGAAGGAGAGGGCCCAGGGAGCTGTCTAGTGAGGAGGGCTGGGCACAACGGACACCAGGGGAGGGTTGGACAAGGAGGATTTTCGGATGGGGGATGCCCAGGCCTTTGACTTCAGGGACAGCACAAGTCCTCAGTCACACAGGCCCCTCACACCCGTGGGGACCCACGTGCACACACACAGATGGGGGACGATGGCGATATGAGGGGTCCCATGGTCAGAGCTGGGGGCAAGGGCAGGAGGATACAGGGAGAGCTGGGGGCAGCCAGGCCCTTCATGGGCTTGTGCTCACCTACCTGCTGGACAGTCAGGTTCACAAATGAGTTTCCTTCCAAACCCAACTACTTATCTTCCCCTCCACCAATGTGCAGCTCTCGTCCCCACCCCACAGGGCATCAGAAGCTGGGTCCACTGTGATCCTCCCTGTCCCAGTCTTTCTGGGGACGTTGCATCCACTTCACACTAGGCCCATCGGAGGCTGGGGCCTGACCTCCTCAGAGTGGGGACCCATCCGCACACGTGGTGGAGGTACAGAAATGACAGGAGAAATCCTTCTAAACGTATAAAGAGAGCATTTTAGGAGAGTTTCCCCTTTCCTCTTACCATTTCTAACCCCTTGGACTTTCTCCTCACTCTCCAAGTCTTGGAAGTTTTCATATGTCATTGTCAAGCTTGGGCCAGCACGGCTCTGAGGTTGTCACCTGAAACGGAGGCAGGGCCGGTGCCCAGGCTGGGGCAGAGCTGGGGCATAGGAGGTTGGGACTAGGTTGGAGCCAAGGGCAGGGCTGAAGTTGAGTTGGGAGATGAGGTTCAGGTTGAGAATGGGCCCAGGGTTAAGGCTAAGACGGAAATGGGCCTGGGTTTGCAGTTGAGATAGAATTGGGGTCGAGATGAGTTTGGGAGTGAAACTGGAGGGTAACGTTGGAGCTAAATGCATTGCTAGGACTGCCCAGTGGGCCAGTAATCAGGCAGGACTGGCGATTGTGTCTCATGCTAGGATTGGGATCGGTATGCAAGTTGGAGCCATGGATGGAATTGGGGTTAAGTTTGGTGCTGAATTTGGAAATAGAATAGAATTGAGGTTCAATTTTGGCTTTGGGTTGGTGTTAAGATTCAAGTTGAATATGGAGTTGGGGTTAAAGTAGGAGCTGGGTCGGGGGCAACAGGTGTGGTGGCTCATGCCTGTAATCCCAGCACTTTGTGAGACCAAGGCAGACACATTACTTTAGGTCAGGAGTTTGAGACCAGCCTGGCCAACATGGTGAAACCCCATCTCTACTAAAAACACAAAAATGAGCCGGGTGTGTGGTGCACACCTGTAATCCCAGCTACTCGGGAGGCTGAGGCAGGAGAATTGCTTGAATCCAGGAGGCTGAGGTTGCAGTGAGCGGAGATAGTGCCACTGCACTCCAGCCTGGGCGACACAGTAAGACTCAGTCTCAAAAAATAATAATAATAAAGTAGGAGCCAGTGTTTGTATTGGGGTTAGGGCATGGCTGGGCTGGGGCTGAAGATAAAGCTTGAAATTGGCCCGCCATGAGGCTGAGTTTGAGTCTTAGTTTAATTTTATTTTTATTTATTTATTTATTGAGACAGAATTTCACTCTTGTCACCCAGGCTAAAGTGCAATGAGGCCGTCTCGGCTCACTGCATCCTCCGCCTCCGGGTTCACGCGATTCTCCCACCTCAGCCTCCCAGAGTCGTAGCTTATGACAGGGGATTGTGGCTGCTGTAACCCAATCTAGAATCCAGTGAAGGGCGTAGAGTCTCAAATCTTCACATAGTAATTAAATCCCACACTGCCACCTTATATCTATTTTCATTTAGTCCCACCCAAGACCCAAAGTCCCCCTCGCCCTGCTTCCTCTGACATCCCCTGTCCCCTGGGTCTCACCGGCACCCACAGCACCATTACCTGTGGGAGGTCTGGAGGGTGTGATTCTCACGTTGGTTGTGAAGCAAGGACCAGAGTTGGGACGTCACTCAGAGTTGGAAGCGCTGTGTCCTGGAGAGCTGGGGTAGAGGTGACTGGAGTCCTGCTGGTCTTCAGTCTGAAATCCCAGGAGCCCTATCATCTGGGACACCCCATCTCCTCAACTTTCGACAGTAAATGAGAATGAACGGGGATTGGAACACACAGAGACCGTGTGTGGGTGGAGAGAGTTGGGTCTGAAGCCAGCTCTGCTCTCCTCCTCCAGGCCATGCCTACTTCCTTTTCTCTTTTTGGAGTTTCCTCATTTTTACCATCTGGTAGCAGGACTGGATAGAGGTACACAATCTGCTGTTGCTCCTCTACCCTACACTTCCTTTCACTTCCTGCCTCTACATTTCCCAGAATTGCTGGGTCTCCATCATCGCACCTCTGATCCTAGAGAAGCCCAGTCTGTGCTTTGGCTCAATGCTGGCCTGAGTCCCTGGCATCAGCATCCTCTAGGTCCCAGTCATTCAGCGGCTCAGCTCTGGCCTCACTCGTCTCACTCCACTCGGAAGGAGGGAAGGGGGTGACAGAGAATAGAACTTCTTGGCCAGAATAGGAAGGGAGAAGCCAAGGAAAACAGCAAACTTTTATTGAGTATCTAATCTGTGATGGGATTATGCCAGACACTTACCTTCCACAGACATTCCCCGCAAGCACCGGGGGAGGCATTTTGGATGACGGGCTAAGGCTCAGAGCCCAAGATCACACACAGCTTGTAAGGAGAAAGTTTGGCACCCTGCTCTGGCTCTCAGCACAGGCGCTGTCTTCATGAACAGGATTCCATTTCATCCCATGATCCCTGCCCAGCCCCTAAGGGAGCTGCCCTGAGTCCATGCACACATCCCTTTGAGTAGGAAGGAAACTGAGTATCTTACAAGGTGGAGAAGGAGGAGAAGAAATACATTTTAGGTTATATCTTCTATGTACATGGGGTTGTGTTCTGCTATGTGCTTTTTTTTTTTTTTTTTTTTTTTTTTTGGAGTTAACAATCTATGAGGAACATTTCTCCACATCAGTTCATAAAATGTACTTGATCTACCTGCACCTCATTTCATCATAGGCATCATAATTTATTTATTTAGCATTTCTCTATTGACAGAAACCAGAAATTTAAATTGTGTCTTTTTCTTTTCTTTTCTTTCTTTTCTTTTTTTTTTTTTTGAGACAGAGTCTCACTCTGTCACCCAGGCTGGAGTGCAGTGGCACAATCTCGGCTCACTGCAACCTCCATCATCTCCTGGGTTCAAGCGATTCTTCTGCCTCAGCCTCCTGAGTAGCCGAGATTACAGGTGTCCACCACCATACTCAGCTAATTTTTGTATTTTTAGTAGAGATGGCGTTTCACCATGTTGGCCAGGCTGGTCTCTAACACCTGATCTCAGATGACCCGCCCACCTCAGCCTCCCAAAGTGCTGGGATTTCAGGCGTGAGCCACCACACCCGACCAGGTTGTTTCTGGTTTTGTTTTCATTTTGTATTTGGTATTTTAATTAGTATATGTTGCAGGTTATGTTTTTGGAAGCCAAGGTTGAGGCTGAATTTGGGGTGCGAGCTATTTATGAGGGATTAGCACTTCGAAAAGGAAAGTGGATGAAACGGTGCTGGGCAGAGGGAGAAGCACAGCACTTTGGAGTGTTTCAACCAAACCAACAGGGAGCTCTGGGTTCAAACAATGCCAGCCCTGGGAGCTGTCCAGCATTGGACTGCCACAGGGTCCTGTAGAGCACCACCTTCTTCAGTCACTGGCAGTCAACCCTGACATGGGTGTGACCTCGGGAAGCAGCTGTCTGCAGGTTACACTCCCCACGGTGGGTCACCACATCCTTCCTAGAAGGGGGACCTGGGTAGCTCTCTGTGTGTTTACCACAGTCTTGCAGTGTATTCACCTATTAATTTGGAGATAATCAACATTTTGACATAGATGAATCTTCCATGAAAAGAACGTGGTATTATGATATTTCTCCATTCACTCACTTTTTTTTTTCAGTCTGGTTCAGCGGGTTTGAAGCTTTTTTTTTTTTTTTTTTTTTTTTAAGTTCTGGGATACATGGCTGAACGTGCAGGTTTGTTACACAGATAAACATGTGCCATGGTGGTTTGCTGCACCTATCAACCCATCACCTAGATTTTAAGGCCCACATGCATTAGGCATTTGTCCTAATGCTCTCCCTCCCCTTTCCTCCGACCCCCCAACAGGCCCCGGTGTGTGATGTTCCCCTCCCTGTGTCCATGTGTTCTCATTGTTCAACTCCCACTATGAGTGAGAACATGCGGTATTTGGTTTTCTGTTCCAGTGTTAGTTTGCTGAGAATGATGGTTTCCAGCTTCATCCATGTCCCTACAAAGGACATGAACTCATTCTTTTTTATGGCTGCATAGTATTCCAAGGTGTACATGTGCCACAATTTCCTTATCCAGGCTATCATTGATGGGCATTTGAGTTGGTTCCAAGTCTTTACTATTGTAAACAGTGCTGCAATAAACACATGTCCATTCACTCTTACATGTATGTATTCATCCATTTGAGTACTTATTGAGAGTCTATGGTATGCCAAGCACTTTCCTTCCTAAGAGGCAGAGTTCAGGAGTTTAAAAGTGAGCAGACAAACACGGCCTGCCTTCATAGAGTGTGCCTTCTAGTGGGTGACCAATCAACAAAATAAATGAGTAAAATACCCGTATGTCACATGGCAACAGTGCTTTGTGGGAAAAGAGCAGGGATATGAGATAGGGTCAATTTTTAATGTCCCTCAAGAATAGGGCCATTCTCACATTGCTCTAAATAAATACCTGAGACTTGGTAATTTATCAAGGAAAGGGGATTAATTGCCTCGTAGTTCTGCAGGCTGTGCAGGAAGCCTCTGCTCAGTTTCTGGGGAGTACTCAGGAAACTTGACGATTATGGTGGAAGGTGAAGGGGGAGCAGGTGCCTCACATGGTAGGAACAGGAGCAAGAGAAAGCCAGGGGATCAGATTTTAAATGACCAGATCTCGCGAGAACTCCCTCACTGTCATGAGAACAGCACCAAGGAGATGATGCTAAACCATTCATGAGAAATCCACCCCGTAATCCAATTACCTCCTACCAGGCCCCACCTCCAACACTGGGGATCACAATTCAAGATGAGATTTGGGCAGGGACACAGATCCAAACCACACCAGAGTGTCAAGAAAGGCCTCACTGGGAAGGCAATATCTGAGCAAAGTTTGAAGGAGGCAAAGAAGCAAGTCACAAGGGGCTCTGGCAGGAAGAGTGATCCAGGGAGAGGGCAGAGCAGGTGTAAAGGCCCTGAGGTAGGAGAACGTCTGGTGCATATGAGGATCATCCATTTGACAGAGTTGCCAGAGATTTTATAGAGAAGTGAGTCAGGGAGGAGAAGAGTAGACAAGCGATGGGGGAAAATGTGGGCCTTGTTGGCTGTTATTAAGGATTTGTTTTTACTCTGAGTCAGAGATGCAGACTTTGAAGGGGTTGGAGCAGAGGAATGACATAACTTGACCTATATGTTAACTGTAACAGTGTGTCTTTTGTGTTATGAATTTGATATGAAGAAGAACAAGCTGGAAACGGGGGGCTAGGTAAGAAGCTGCTGTCATATCCAGGTGAGAAATGAGGTGGTCAAAAGTGTTGTGATTCTGGATATATGGTGAAGGTGGAGCAGACAGAACTTCGCCGATAAATTGCTTGCGGGTTTCATGAAAAAAATAGTTCTCCTAGTCCCCAAAATAAATTAAACATTGAGCATTTTCTATAAATTGCTGACTCCCTAGGAAAAACAAGTCTATCCCTGATGTTTGCAGTGCTGACGCCTGGGTATGTCATGACCTTTTGTGCGTATGAAAATCATGTGAGAAAAGCACTGGGTTTTGACTGATAAAAACTTGCTTGCAAAGGTAATCTTGCAGAAATTCCCTTCCAATGCCTGTTGTGGTCTTAGTTTGGATTTCTTTGTCAGGTCCTGGCAAGCAATCTTCTTGTCTTTTCCTAAACGCTTCTGTTCCTGAGACCCCTTTCACAGTTGACAATAATCATTTCCCTCTTCCACCACATTTTCTGTGAATTCTTACCCTCTCCTAGAACCTCTACTGGTCAGGAATTTTTTTTTTTTTTATTTTTATTTTTTTTTCAAGCTAGGAACAAGAGAAAGCACGCTCGTGCCACCAGTTCTCCATGAGATTCTTCCAGACCATACAGAAAGACAAGTGATTGGAACATGTGAAGGTTGAAAGCAAAAGAAAACTGTCATTATTGGTAAATGACATGATTGTCTACTTTAAAAATCTAAGAGAATCAGCCCCTCCTGGATTCAAGCGATTCTCCCACCTCAGCCTCCTGAGTAGATAGGACTACAGGCATGCACCACCACACCAGTTAAATATTTTATTGTGTAGAGAACAGACCTCACGATTGTTACCCAGCCTGGTCTCAAACTCCTGGCCTCAAGCAATCCTCCCACCTCAGCCTCCCAAGGTGCTGGGATTACAGGTGTGAGCCATCATGCCCAGCCTGTGTTTTCTTTGATAATTTTTATAGTTTCAGCTTTGATGTGTGTCTATGATCATTAAGAATTATATTTTTTCATATATATACAGTTATTCCAGCACCACTTATTGAAAATACTTTTCTCCATTTAATTAACTATTTCTACCTATATAGTTGATAGAATTCATCAGAGAAGTCATCTGAAACTGGATATTTTCTTTGTTGAAAGATTTTAAATTGTGAATTTATTTGAATTCAGGTAAGTGTTCAGATTTCCTAATGCGTTTTTAGTTTTGATAATGTGTATCTTTCAAGTAATTTGTCCATTTTATTCTATTTATGGGCAAATTTGTTGGCAAAAACTTGTTCATATTATCCTTTTGATGTATGTAGGATATGTATTTATATTTTCTTTAATTCCTAACACTGGCAATTTGGGGGTTTGTTTCTTTGTTTTTGAGACAGAGTCTCACTCTGTTGCCCAGGCTGGAGTGCAGTGACATGATCTCGGTTCATGCAGCCTCTGCCTACCAGATTCAAGAGATTCTTGTGCCTCAGCCTTCCAAGTAGCTGGGATTACAGGCGTGCGCCACCCTGCCCAGCTAATTTTCGTATTTTTAGTAGAAATGGGGTTTTACTATGTTGGCCAGGCTGGTCTCAAACTCCCAACTTTAAGTGATCTGCCCACCTTGGCCTCCCAAAGTGCTGAGATTACAGGCATGAGCACTGTGTCCGGCCAACACTGGCAACTTATGTCTTCACACTTTTTTCTATCAATTTTATCAATTTTATCGATCTTTTCAGAAACAGTTTCTGGTATCATTAATTTTCCTTATTTTTGTTTGTTTGTTTATTTCATTGACTTCTGCTCTTATTTTCTTCATTTTTGTACGTTGGATATAAACATCTTTTCGTGGTCTCTTCAGGTAAAAGCTCAGATTCTTTGATTTTTGACCCTTTTTCTTTTTCTAGTTTAAGCATTGAATGTTGTACAATTTCATCTAAGCCCTGTTTGGATGTAGCATCTTCTCATTTTCACTCAGTTGAAAATATTTTATTTTCTTTTTTTTTTTTTTTTTTTGAGATGGAGTCTTGCTCTGTCGCCCAGGCTGGAGTGCAGTGGCGCGACCTCTGCTCACTGCAAGCTCCGCCTCCCGGGTTTACGCCATTCTCCTGCCTCAGCCTCCCAAGTAGGTGGGACTACAGGCGCCCGCCACCAGGCCCGGCTAATTTTTTGTATTTTTAGTAGAGATGGGGTTTCACCGTGTTAGCCAGGATGGTCTCGATCTCCTGACCTCGTGATCTGCCTGCCTTGGCCTCCCAAAGTGCTGGGATTACAGGCGTGAGCCACCGCGCCTGGCCAAAAATATTTTCTAATTTACCTTATGGTTTCTTTTTTGATCCACAGGTGATTTAGAGGTGTATTGTTTAATTCCAAAATATTTGGAATTTTTTTCCACTTTTTTGTTATTGATTTAATATATTTAATA